AATAAAAAAAAATGGAACTCAAAAAAAAAAAGAGCACATCTCTGTATGCACAAGAACCCAAATTCCTCCCTTGCACCACATTACCTCTCAAATCATCTGTTAGTAAAACTCTGGTAGCCCAGAAAAACTTGTGGGCATGGCCCAGGTAGTCCCCTGCACCACTGAGTTCTAGCAGCATGACCCCACCAGCTCAAGCAGTGACCCTCCAATATGACAGCTGAATATAGTCAGCAGTGGGTCCAGGTCCCTCAGCATTGCTGAGAACCCCAATGAAACAACAGATGTGTGGGACATCTTTAACCATCAAACCCTTATGTTTCTTAACTGTAATTAATAATTTTCCTTTCAAATTAGTAATTTGAAAAGTGCGGTGGGGAGGGGAAATTTTTTGCTTTGATCCACTTTTCGCTGGGGATTAATGACATTAATGTAACCTGTGTACATTTTAGAAGAAATTTTATTAAAGTAACAGATGAAACTCTACTTTGGCAACCTGGTCAGAAAAAAATTAAAACTAAAAGTCTAAAAACCATGCTAATGTAGCTAGAAAAGCAGAATTGTGCCTTTATATATTCTCATTCTTGGTCTCTCATGTACAGAGGGGAAAGAATGTCATTATGATCGTTATATTAAAGAATATTTCTTAGATTTTAAAAAATGGTAGGATTCTATTTATAAGTGCATGAGTCCTTAAAATTTCAAAAATCTTTAAAATCTTTCTTAGGTCTTTCTATTATTGTCACTCAATCCTCATTTAAAACAAAAATCTATGTATATGTTTATGAAAATGAATCATATTTTAACTGGACATCCTTAGAAGATCTTGATATAGATTCCAAATTGTTGTTTGGACGCTTTTTAAAAAATTTATTGTAACTGGGCTGGAGTGATAGCACAGCGGGTAGGGCGTTTGCCTTGCACACAGCCAACCCGGGTTTGATTTCCAGCATCCCAAATGCTCCCCAGAGCACCGCCAGGAATAATCCCTGAGTGCATGAACCAGGAATAACTCCTGTGAAACGCCAGGTGTGACCCCAAAAAAGCAAAATATAAATAAATAAATAAATAAATAAATTTATTGTAACTGGCAATCTCAAGAGCCACTTTATTAAGAAATCATCTAATTAAAAATAAATAAATAAATAAAGGAACTTTCCTTCTCTGGAAAATGTAAAAGAAAAAAAAAGAGATCATCTAAATTAGCATTCTTTATTCAATATCCAAGGCAGTTACAAATCAAATTCACAATACAAAAATAATTTTTGTATTTTGATAATATATATACTGTGATGATAAAAAAATCAGGCTTAAAATAAATTTCTATGTATCATATTTTGCACATATAATAAAATACTAATTGATATGAAATATTAGATTCATATTACACAATTTTACAAAAAATATTTATGTCTTATAAAAAACATTGTATAGCAACCACTCTAAACTTTTAAAAAGAATGAAGTAACCAAAAGAAAAATAAATAATAAAATAATAAAATAAAAAATAATATTAAATGTGCAAAACTCACTGAGAAATTTGATGTCAAGACATTGTTCTTTTAATGGTAAGAGACAAAAGAAAATTATTAGTTATATTACTAAAGGAAAATATTCTTTTTCTTTTTTACAGAAATTTTTTAAGAATCAAACCCAGTCTCACACATCCCAGAGAAGTACTATACTGCTGTGTAGATCTCCACTAGAGCAAAATTTTAATGCTTCAAAAATCTCTTAGATCTTTGATAAGTTTATATAAACTTTTAGCATCTCACAAGTTTTGTAATTTGTTATGCTATGACATTTTATACACTTACACAAACCTGTCTGCAACATTCTTAATTCACCATATATTGAATCCACAAAATTTTCGTCTTAAGTTTTATGTCTCTACATCCCCACAGAATCCAGAAAAAAGAGATAAAACTAACTTATTGGCAGCCTCCACATTCTGATGACCGAAATAAAGACCCTTCCAAAGTAACACAGAAGCTGTAAAGCAGGACCAAAGTTCTATCAATTCTCAGTTTCCAAATCAAATTTAGAAGAAGTAAAAACATCAATGCATAATCAATATATCCAAAAGATTTCCACTGAGAATACAGTAAGTTACAAAACATGCCAACTGTTTTTGCTATGTGAAACAAAGTTCATCACTTGGCAGAAAATAAAATTTTACATCTCCAAATTTTGTAAACTATATTATTTTCTGTCTAAATAGTAGGTCTGATATCTAAAATAAACTAACAAAAACAACCAAGTCAACGATGTACATTGATCGTGTATCTAATGGCATGGACTATTCAAATAAAACTCATTTCAGGAGACATATATTTGCAACACAATGTTTACCTGTGAAAACTAGTAATTTAAATAAAAATGAATACATCCACTTAAAAAATAAACCAGGAAAATATACTGATCTCTTAAGACTGTCTCCTAGAAATTATTTAATGCCTATGTGCAAAATATGAAAGGCGCAGTGTTGAAGGTTTCCATTCGTGAGCCCTCAAACACCCGTCAGGGGAAGCTAGAAATAAAACTAACATCATTTAGTGGGTATGGTGCCACCAGCAGGTCTACCTGTACCTGTGGGCAAGTGCATCAGCAGCCTGATGGTGCCTTTAGGCTTCCTGATACCCCCAAACTGCAGCTGTGCCGCTGGCTGCACCTCAACAACTCGGCACCAAGTTTCCAGAGAAACTACACTGCCCAAAGTTAGGTATGTGTTTACGCCCACAAACCACCCCTGGCTCAGTCACACAAGGTTCCCATGGGTCTTGCTTCAGAGACCCACAAATAAATCTCTTAAAGAAAGGAAAAGCAGCGGTTAATCTCTGACCTGCGGTGGGGCTGAGCAGACCAAGAGAAATCAGAGGGGGGCGGGTCAGGCTGGTCCAGGGCAGCCCCTAGCTCCCCAAACCCAAAATTGCAGACATGCCTCTAGCTCATCTCAACACAGACCTCACCAATATATTAAACTGTTGGAAATTCAAATATACGGGTTTTGTGACTGAAATCCCTAAGCTTTTTGGGGGTCAGGATGGGCTACTTCTGCCTCTCCTCACTGTTCTGGAAGCCGCCACAGTCACGTCCACTCCTCCAAGCTGCCACCCGGTTAAAAAGCTACTCAAGCCTTAACTCCTCGATAAAAATACTGTATGCCCTGAACAAATACAATGACCTCTTAGTACATGTGCTGCAAACCCAAACGCATGAAAGGAAAAGGAGAGAGAGAGAGAGAGAGAGAGAGAGAGAGAGAGAGAGAGAGAGAGAGAGAGAGAGAAGAAAAGAGTCTGCCATAGAGACAGACTGGGGGGAGGGTCCGAGAATGAACTTAGGGATACTGGTGGTGGGAAATGGGGACTGGTGGAGGGATGGGTGTTGGATCATTGTATGAAGTCCAATCATGAACAGCTTTTTAATGGTCTATCTCACAGATATTCAATTGAAATATTTTTTGAAAAACTAACATAATTTAAAAGATTTCTATGGAAATTTTTAAGAGCAGTTCAACATTATTGTTTATTAAGACTTTTAGCTTCTAGAATACAGTTCATTCAAATTGACAGCGCTTGAAATAACTCTGCCTCCTGTTCGTAGGAATTAAAAATCAGAAAGTTTTTAAGAAAAAAAATTCCTGATGACACTTCTAATCCAGTATGAATTTTGCTTACTGTCTCGGTCTTATTTGTCTTACTAGATTTGGTGATTATTTTTAAAAGATTCACTCTCCAAGAACACCCTAGCCTAGCTTCACAAAAGACCTTTCAGTAAATAAAATAGCATCATAAATATTTGTAGGGATAAAAAACATTCAGTGGAACCACCATAATTAAAACAGAAAAGCACATTTTAATATCTAATAAGAGCCAACTTGTTTTCAATACACACAACACATGTCAATTTCCTCCTTTCCCACTGAAAGCTCTGTTACTGTTCATGGTGACACATACTGGTGAGTCCAAGGAACAACACAACACAGAATCACCCGAGTTTTATTTCACTCCTGTTTCTTGGTAGCAGATTTGTGGGAGTGGTTACATTTTACACATCTAACTGTTCAGCGGCATTATATCTGCATCAAAATCACACGAGCAGTAAATATCTTTGCTAGGTGGTGAAGAGATAATTTAGCCAATTCATCAGATATATTACTAAAATACTTTTGTTTTTTCTTTCATCTATTTCTCACTTTATGTGACTCTTGTCTTACTGTACGTGCTAACTTTCAGAAGTTCATCATCTTTTCCCAAATCATGCAACCTTCATAAGTTCTGATGAATTAAATTGAAGCTTTGCTGCATTACAACTTCCTTCTAATAACACAACAAATATATTTAAAATGCAAGCATTTGTGCAATAGCGAATGATACTGACTTTTAAAAGAAGTTTAAAATTCTAAGTATACAATTAACCATAACACAGGCTATAATTACTTGAAATATTTTTCAAACTCATCTTAAGAAAATATTAATATGAGTTTTATTCCCTTTCTCTTGCCATTGATAGGGAAGAAAATCATTATTTTCCCGGTATTGGTGATCTATAGTAGATAAAGCTATTGAGAGGGATTAATTTTGCCAGAAAGCTACTCACATAAAGAAATTCCTCCCCACAGGCCATCATCGGAACGTGAAACTTTCAGGGAACATTGTCTTAACTAAGATGAAGCTATTCGACTCGCTCCCTAAATCAATTTCACCCAAATGAGGCGTGTGCGTTCTAATTCATTGTTCCCCAGACTCTAGAATCAACCATCTGCCATCGGAGTTTCTGTACGGTAATTAAGGAACTATCCATTAGAACTGGCAAGAGTACAAAGTAAGAAGGGGTGGGGGTGGGGGCTAGCGGAGGAAAGCAACCCACTTTAAACGGAGCGGGGGTCGGGGTCGCCCTGAGCACCCCGCCCCCACCTCTGTTCTCAGCCCGAGTCCCGAGCGGCCCGCTGCCTCCCCCCGCCCCCGGGATGCCCGACGGCCCGGCTCAGCATCCTCCTCCTACCTTGGAAGAGAAACGCTTTCGTGCCATTGTGCAGCCCGGGCACCTGGCGCACCCCGCCCGTGGCCTCGCCGAGTCCCAACTCCGCGAAGACGTCGATCTGCAGGGAGGGGTCCACGCCAAGCCCCCAGACTGGGGGTGGGTGGGGTGGGGTGGGGTGGGGGGTCGGAGGAGAGAGAAAGCTCCATCAGAACATGAGTCGGTTTCCTGGGCAGCCCAGGGTCCTCCTGGAAGGCGACCTCCGGCGGGGAGGACGGGCGGCAGCTCCGCGGCCGCTGCCCCGAGCCTCACCTGGCCCCTGCAGCCGAGCGTGGACGCGGGGACGCCGGGTCCCGTGCCCCTGCCCTACTTTACAGCCCGGCCCCTCCCGGGAGCAAAGTTCCCCCCAGGCCCCCGGGTCCCGGGCAGGGGCGCGAGCCCCCCGGCATCTCCCAAGCTCGCACAAAGCGCGACGAGCCCGCGCCCGCACCCGCTCGGGGCCGGGCCAGAGGCTCGCGTGCCTGTGCCCACTGTCCCCGGGCCACCCACCTGCGCCGAGGCCGAGCAGCAGACACAGGGCTCGTGCGAGGACCGGAGACTCCATGGCGCGGCTCGATCAGTCCATCCTCCCGGGGAAGAGACACCCGTGTCCGAGGGATGCGCGGCTCCGGCGGGCAGAGCGCGCGGTCCAGCCCGTCGCTGCGCGCGGCTCCGGGCGGTGCAGGGCGGCCGCGATTGGGCCGCTGGGCATCCGAGGGAGGGCCGGGCCCGCCGGGAACTTGGCCCTGCCTAGCACTCCGCGCTCCGCCGGCAGAACGCGGGCGGCGGGCGGCGGGCGGGGCGGGGCGGGGGCCGGCGGGGGCGGGGCGGGGCGGGGATCCGCCCGGGGAGGCGCTCCGGAGAGGGACCGGCTGGCCCGGGATCCCCCCGGGGATCCGCCCCGCAGCCGGCCCCAGCCGGCCCGGGATCGGCCGGGGAGAAGGACCCGCCGGCCCGGAATCCGCCCCGGAATCCGCCCGGGGATGCGCTCCGGAGAGGGACCGGCCGGCCCGGGATCCGCCCGGGGATGCGCTCTGGAGAGGGATCAGCCGGCCCGGGATCCGCCCGGGGATGCGCTCCGGAGAGGAGAGGGATCAGCCGGCCCGGGATGCGCTCCAGAGAGGGACCCGCCGGCCCGGGGTCCGCCTGGGAGAGGGACCCAGCCCGGACGGGATTCGCGCCCGAGCAGGGTCCAGCAGCTCCGGGATCCGCTCTAGAGAGCGACCGGGCGGGCCCGGGATCGCGCCCGATCCCGAGGCGAGCACGCCGGCGCCCAAACCTGTTGTGGAGCGGAGACAATGGAGCGCCGGGCGGGAGCGGGCAGGGGCCGCGCCGGGGACGGGGACCGGGCCGGGAGGGGCCGCGCGAGGACGGATCCGCGAGGGGCAGCGCCTGGAGGGACCGGGCAGGGGCCGCTCGGGGGATGGGGACGTGCCCCCCGCCGCCCCGCAGTCTCCGCGCGTCCTCCGTGCCCAATGCCCCGCTGCTGAGGGGTCGCGGCTGCCCGGGCGATCTCGGGGCGCGCGTGCACCGAGGACCGCGGGATCCCGGACCCCCAGCCCGCAGCAGGTTGCGGGGCCACACCGGGCACTCGCGCCGCGGGCAGGGCTGGGGCGCGGCCGAGCGCGGACAACGGCCACCGCGAGCAACTTCGGAGGGGACAGCTCGGGCCTCGCGCGCCCCCTGCCCGACGCGCCCGACGCGGGACCCCGCGCGGCCCCCCACCCCCGAGCCCGTGGAGCTGCAGGGACCACTGGCCGGGAGCGGGGGGCCACACCGCGGGATGGACAGGGCGGGCGGACAGGAGCCGCGCTGAGCCGGACCCTCTGCTGACCCGGCAGGCGCCTTAGATGGCAGCCCCGACGGGGCCAGAGGGCACGACCACCAGCCCATCCGCTCCCCGGGCTGACCCAGACTCAGTGGTACATAATGGATTTTTTTAAATAGGATCCTTAAATTTGTAGGTGATTTCTGAATGATAACATTCAGCTGTCACGTGGAAAAAGCAAGAGTCGAAAACACGACTCGAACATTAGTGCAAAGATGAACCGAGTTACTTAGGTATATCTGGAAATTCCCATTCGAGTTAACTTCCTCAGTTACCATCCCTCTGCGATGCAGGGGCTCTGGCAGAGAAATATACATTATGTTATAATAGGATCTAGAGGCACTTTTTTTAGTGTTTTTAAGGAAAAATCAAAATCTGGGAGCTGGTACTAATTATTTTTTAATTATCTCTGCATACCAAGTTTTCGTATAATTCCTGATTGTAATTTTGTCATATTTGAGAACTATCCCAGTAGCAAGTCATGAAACATTATGTATGTATATATTTAAATGCAGACCCAGCTGTAGTCAGGCAGGTTACAGAATCAGGAGTAAAAGCATTCTGGGAGCTGGAGAGATAGCACAGCGGTAGGGCGTTTGCCTTGCACGCAGCCAACCCAGGTTCCATTCCCAGCATCCCATATGGTCCCCTGAGCACCGCCAGGAGTAACTCCTGAGTGCAGAGCCAGGAGGAACCTCTGTGCATCGCCGGGTGTGACCCAAAAAGCGGGAAAAAAAGGCATTCTGACTCTCGCCCACATGATATGTTGAAATCTGGTGATTTGTAACCTTTTCTCTAACACCCCACAAACAGTTATGTTACGCCAGAAGACTGGTAAATAGTGGCATTTTATACCCAAAATTTTTCCAGCTGCTATTGAAATTTTTAAAATATAAATAAAGGGAGAGTTGTTTCTACAAAACTAAAGCTTAAAGCTTTGGGAACTATAAGGGTAAATCATTGTATCCTAATAGAGGAATTAATTCTTGGAAATTGACTAGCTCTTTGTTGATGTTTCCTGTCTTGCAGGATGATTTGTAACATCTTTAATCACCACTTACAAGATGGAAATTAATAAATAACTCTCAGCAAAATAAAAATAGAAGAAAATTAAAAGCCATCTAAAATGACTCTACTTTGAAAAGTCAACATTATATTAGAAATTTCAGTCAATGCAATGAAACAAGAAAATGAAATAGAGGTAATTTAGACTAGAAAGAAAGATACATTAATGCTTCCGTAGGTAGTATGATCATCTAAATTAAAAAATCCCCAAGGCATTTTAAAAAAATCTATTAGAACTTGTCAGTTTTGGAATACAGTGTTTCAGAATAGAAAAATCAATATAAAATTCACCTACATTATATCAATAAAAACATGACATTTGTAATATCATTGAAATGTAAGATACTTATGCAGAAGTCTAACATCGATGAGACTTTACACTGAAACCAGAAAGAAACTGCTACTGAAAGTAAAGAACATTTAAATAGAAAAAAATACCGATTCAAAATAAAATATTTTATGTCACACACAAAGAAATAATAACATTAAGCTATCGGTGATATTCACATTTTTCTACATATTCAATACAATCTCAGAGACTATTTTGTATCAACTGACCAAGAAACAATATAATTTATATAAAAAATAAAATGGAAACAGAAAAAACAAAATAAAAAAGCCCATAACTGGAAGAGTCACACTATTTGTCTTTAACAGTACACTATAAAGCAAAGTCATCAAAACTATGTGGGTTTGTTATAAAGATGGGCATAAAAATTAAATCAATTGCACAAACAAAAAAAAAAGAAAACTGCATGCATATGTTTTTTGAGAAAGAGACCAAGATATATAAGTGAATAAATTATACTTGTTTTAACAATGACGTTATGATACTTGCACTGATGAAAAAGAAGGAAGGAAGAAAGAAAGGAAGAAAGGAAGGAAGGAAGGAAGGAAGGAAGGAAGGGGAAAAAGGAAAAAGGAAAAATGGGAGGAAGGAAATTATACTAATAATTCTTATTTTGCATCACATATAATTATCATAAAGTAGATCATAAGCTTAAGTATAAATGTTAAAGTTGTAAAATAGAAGAAAATATAGGTGAAAATATTTGTAATTTTGTTAGTGAAATATTTTTGAATGTGTGCAAAATGCACATAATTTTTCAAATTTATAAATTATACTTGAAAAAATGGAAATTAAGTTTTTTGAAAGGAAATTATGAGAAAAAATTTTGAAGCGCATTATGACACAAAATATTTGCAAAGCATATATGTAAAAAATGCTTTATGCATTCAGATCATCTAAATAATGCAATGGGACCACAATTCTATTGAAAATCAAGTATTTATGTAGATATTTTACCCAAAAGAGATATACAGATGGCAATAAAATATATATACAAATAACTCTTATATTAGTAGTCACTAGTGGAATTAAAATTCCCCTTACAGAATGACTAAAGTTAAAATGACTGACAATCCAAGAACTCATAAGATAAAAATTGGTGGATCCAGAAGAAAGCACGGGTATTAGGGACCCTATATGATCCCTGGCAGTGCCTGCCCCCTCAACAACACTCGGGATATTCTTGGAGGCCCCCTTGCACCATCACAGTGAGCCTGGTGGTATCTGGCAGCTCAGAGTCCAAGCAGTACCACCTCCATAGGTCCCAGCATCCAAAGGATGCTCACATGGAGCTAGGAATGCCCCTAGGTGCTTTGAGTGCTGCTCAGAAGCTCCCCACTGAAAACACAGATGCCAATTTCTGTGAATTGTCATTCATTGCTGGGCGCAATCAAAATAAACATTTTTGAAAGTTTATTATGAAGATATCAATTTCTTAGAATTTATCAGAGAAAAAATAAAATAGATTTCTTACCTATCTATTTCTCATCTATAGACTACTCTGTGTGCGTGTGTGTGTGTGTGTGTGTGTGTGTGTGTGTGTGTGTGTCCTGGAAAAAAACATATGTCACCTAAATATACTGTTTTCTAAGCACAGAAGAGACTTACTGGCTTATTAAATGCTATCAGACTTCAAGAACCATGAGTCATTGGTTTAAAAACATCCTGTCATGCAACCTTTATTTATAACTGCCAGTAGACAAGGACAGTGGGCGGTGGCTGCTTTTACTGGTCTGCAAGCAGGACTTAGTGTTCATATGAATAGGATGAAACATTCACCCTCCATGAGTACCCAGATGGTGCTGGCTTCCTGCCTGGTTTAAGGTTTTCTACTAAAAGGGACAGCTTCACCCAGCAATCGGAGACAAAGTAACCCTCCCATTTTAGAGCGAAAGGCCAGAACATTCTCTGCAATACCCAGAAATCAACTTTCTCTCTTTAACTGTGGATATAATTCCGGAAACAGTAAATATAGAAGTTATAAGGAATTCCATTTTTAACAAAAGATCTTTGTTTGCTTCTCCTTCTGCTAATTCCCAAAATAATTCTTCTTTTTGAAAAGAAATTCATTAAATTCAGGTCACAAGACACAATAATCATTATATAATTCTCGCTAGAGTTTATCTGTTAGTAGTGGAATCTTTTTGTTTTTGTTTGTTTTGGGGTCACACCACAGGGGTCACTCCTGGCTAATGAACTCAGGAATTACCCTTGGCGGTGCTCAGGGGACCATATGGGATGCTGGGATTCAAACCTGGGTCAGCCGCAAGCAAGGCAAAAGTCCTACCCGCTGTGCTATCATTCCAGCCCCAGTAGTGGAATCTTTTTGATGAACATGTAGTTCCCAAACAAAA